CCTCCTAAACTTGCTCAAACAGTTCTGCCATCTGGGCACCAAGTCAGTTTAAGCTTTTAAATGACTCTTCTGGAAGAAGAGCAGCAGGTGATAATTTATACGATTATGGGGATAACATCTGACTTAGAAGCCGTCTTTAGCAATTCATACTGATACAGAGCCCCCCAAAAGCAATGGGTACCTTCCAAGGAAGAAAACAAACGAAATCATTGAAATTCCTTTTTGTTTGAGACTCAAAATAAGCTTCCCAGTTATATGACCTACTTACTCATCAGGTTGTAAGCCTTTAAAACTCTTCTCTTTAATACCTATGCTTCTTTCCCTCTATAGTGCTGTCTTGTTATAATTAAAGTATTTGCAGATGATCAAACACTTGGTAAAGAAAAGCAAACACTCCCAAAGTCTAAATACAGTTGTTTCTACAGGAAAACCAACTGTTCTGTTAAAATTCTAGGCGGACTGACCTAGATCTATAAACTGAAAGGTTTGCCAAGACATGTGCAGCCGTGTAAATCTCTGAGATGTGGGTTATTTAAGCAGATGGTAACTCTGTCACAGTGAGCACTATATGCAAATTGACAGTGAGCAGAACTCTAGGGGAAGCAGGCTGGAGAGGAAGAACAATCTCACTGTGGACCTCTGAGAATTTTAATTAAAGCACAGAGTGGAAATTTAGAGTGCTTGGATATACTTCTTCAGAATATTAATTGAATATTAGTATTGGTTGGATTGTTGCTAAGATACCAGCCCTGGGGAGGCCCAGGAAGTTGTGGAGGCCGCTTTTGTTAAGTTTTGGGTGTGACTTGGCCATGCTATTTCTATACTCTCATATGTGATCTGGAAGGAACAAGAAAGGCGAGGTAATTCTTTGCTGTGTTCTTGATGTTGGCAAAGGAGGCTGAAGAGTTTCCTTCCTTTGTTTTCCGTGTCACTGTCCTTTAGCTGAGATATTGTTTGGCAGGTGTCAAGACAAGTCCAGTCATTCCTGAGTGGCATATTGGACAATCCTATGTGGTCTTGTTCTAGGATCTGTTCCCAGGGATGAGCTGTTATTCCATCCTCACCAGTGATACCATATCATGAAAGCTTTCCTTCTTGTCCTTATAACGTAGAAGATAGTAAAGTTCCATTACATATCCCAATTGCTTTAAAATTACATTAATTAATTTTCTGAGCATGTAAGGAAGGGAGTGAGCATGCATGTGCCATTGCAAGTAGAGGTCAAATGATGACTTACAGGAGCCCAGTCTCTCCTTCTGCTGTAAGTTCCGGGCATTGAATACAAGTGGTCAGGTTTGCTTAGCTGCAAACTTCTTTATTCACTGAGCCATCTTGCCAGCCCTTCTGTTCCAACTTTAACCGAGATAGCACATGGAATAAAGTAGAGCAACTTCGTGCATCTAACCCAACCTTTGTTGGATCTTACACAATGCTTCTTTCTGAACTGGAAGGCACACACCTCATTTATCTTTCCATAGAAGGAAGAAGCAGGTAATGTGTCAGATGGAAGGAGTTAAGCCCACCGTTGTATAGCCATGAAATGAGAAAGAGTGAAATGTATGCATTAAACATTTATTTGGGGAAATGAATTGATAAGGGTTCAGAGTATGTTTATGAATTACACAGGAACTCATGGCAGCTGTAGTGCCCTGCACAAGATTCAGAGATCAAGCCAGTTAAAATTTTCAGCATTAAAAACAGGAATTGTTAAAAAAAAATCAACATCCGACTCCAGCAGAGGAGTTAGTGGCAGGGGGGGGGTGTTT